GGGGGGGGTCTCGATGTCTTCGGGTTGGGAGTAGAATTGTTTCTGAATGAAATCTCGAAATTGTACGGTGGTTAAGTTCACTCGTGCAAGGCGATGAACCCTCTCGTTGCCCGGGTGCGCCATTGTGCCCGGAACCCGGTGTGTTATGAAGTCCTGCCCCAGCGTTCGAAGTTGATGAACGTACAAACGGAGCTGGCCGATGGCAATGGATGTCTGTCTTACATTGACACAGGCTCTGAGTGCTGCCTGTGAATCCATAAAGACGTGATGGCGCACTGGCTGCCCGGCATGACACGTCGCGTTTGCTTGCCTGGCTTAATCGAGGATGGCAATGGTCTCTGCCTGGCGTGCAGTGAATGGGACTGTCCATTACATGGAACATTCTGCACTGTTGGTCACCATCGCAGCTGCACCATGCCGTAGCAAAGCCTGACTCGTCCGGGGGTCATGCCGCGTCCGAGTAGATTTTGCGGTGGTCACCGTTGGTTATGATAGATTTTACCCACTTGAGGTGTTTCTTGATGTGTGACTTACGCCGTGCGGTTTGCTTCGAGTGCATCTGCTTTGGTGGCAGTATGGGTTCGATTCGGGTGTATTGCAAAGGCAGAGAGCGCCGTGGCACTAGTGGTAGTTTGTTCACGACGTGACCCAATTTTGCTAGGGAATGCCTGTTTGTCGGGGTGGAACGTAGTTGGATCTCTTGAGTGTGCTTCTGCATTTCTATAAGTTAATCATAGGCAATGATGTTGCTGCAGCTTCTGAGCATGTCTAGGCAGATTTAACTTGGGAGACACGTTGCTATGCGTCGTGTTTCGCAGCTGAGTCGTTCCAGTGTTCGCATTTGTGTACGACTGATGGATTGTAGGGGAGGCCATACATTACTCTGGATACGACGAAAGAATGAGAAAAGTAGTGCATTCCGCGTTCTCTATTCCCCGGGTGCGATTTGACGCTCACCGTAGTACATGGAGTATCTTGCTGATGGTCTGGGGGTGCGACTAAACCAGGTATTGGCCGTATAGCGCGCGTCGATGTTCATGCCTAGGACGCGGATTGCCGGCTTCCTCTTGATAAGGTGGTGCCAATGAAGAGCTGAATGATGTCTTCTTTTCTTCCGTTTATTTCCTTCGTTGGTTGGCCACCGTGTACAACGACGTACTCTGTCTTTTCCGGGGCCGTACTGAGCCCACCGCTCGCCGACGAACCCAGAACGTGTCCAGATGGTCACGTCGTCGGCATGAAAGGCGAGTTCAAGATTCAGGATGTTGGCCAACCTGAAAGATAGTTAAGACATGGCGATGTTGAACAGTGTCGGAGATATCATCAATCCTTGAGGAACCCCGGCTCTATTAAGATGCGTGGTGGTGATTGCCTGTCTCATCTGCACTTGAAAGCTTCTATCTTCGATAAAGGCTGCAATAAAGTTGTACACGCGTCCTTGGATGCCTAGGGCCCGTGCCCTGCTCATGATTATGTCGTAAGGAACACCATCAAGATAATTACGTATATCGACGCCAACCACAATCCTGGGCTGTGGAGATGTCGGATTTAGTGTGTCCTCCTTTAGCCGTAGGAGGACGTATTGAGTGAACAACCCGGACCTGATACCGTACTCCGTCGGCGCGAGGAATTGCGGCTCCTCCAGGAACAAGCTAAGCCGTGCGTTCACGATACACTCCATGGTTTTACAGTGTGGTGCACAAAAGCACCCGATGTCAAAAGCCCCGTGTCAAATGCCCCGCGGCAAACGCCCCGTCCTTTTTGCTGTGATATAAAAAAAACCATTTTCAGAAGCCCATGACGCGAATCCCCCATGTCAGGTGGCCGGATCCTCAACGTAACAACGGAGCCTTCCGCTTGTAACTAATACACAGTAAGTGTGCACGCGGGCTTGTGTAATATATTCATGACGTACCCAGGACTCAAGTGAGGGATAACTGGATAAAACTTCCCGCTCTTCAGGTGTGCACTAAACATATTCACGTCTTGCGACGTTAGAAGTAGCAATAAGCAAAAAAAAAAACAAAAAACAGTCACTGGCAAAACATTTGCAGTTACAGCTATTATCAATAAGCATTGAGTCGTAGCTTTCGTTGACTCTGAAGCAAGCGCGGATTCACAGTTCACGCAAAGTGGGTTCTGCCATAACTGTTAAACTGCAGCTCATGGCACCAGCCATACTTATCACAGCACCAAACACCAGTTCCATTCTTCTTACGTCGTTTTAATGAAATAGTGTTACTCATCTACGTAGAAAAAGTCTATGATTCTCAGTCTGAGAAGGCCTCTATAACAGAGGAGTGCATCACTAGTGATGCAGATTTATGGAATTGGCCACTTGCACGTATTTCTAAGTTTTTCGGCAGTTTAATTCAACCTTATTTTGTTGCTTCTGGCTTTCACTTAAAATACCTTTAGTAGACCCTGTACATGGAACATGAAACAATGGTGTTTGAAGTGCGAAGAGGGTGGGACGGAGCAGGAAGGACGGGGCTTTTTGCACGCGGCGAATACGGGACGGGGTAATTGAACGCGGGGGTTTCGAAACATGGGGCTAATGACGCGGGACTTTTGCGACAGGGATTCTGCGCGCGGGACAATTGTGCTACACCCGGTTTTACATACACATGATGTTAGCGAGATAGGCTTCAAGTTCACGAGACCATGTGGTGACTGCCGGGCTTTGGTAGAGGTTTCACGAGTGAAATTGTCCAAGTGGTTGGGAGTTCCCCTTTGTTCCAGATGTGATTCATTTAATCGAATATTACTTTTTTATGAGCCTCGGGGAGGTTACGGAAGTGTGTAACGCTGATCTGGTTGGCTCCCGGGGTACTTTTGGCGTTGGCATGCTGCAGAGTGTGCTCGAGCTGGCTGGGCCATAGTTAATGGGTTGTTAAAAGTTGCATTGTCTCGCTGCGAGTGATCTCTTGCATACGTGGTTTTGGATGGGGTTGATGTCTGCAAAAAAACACCGTAGATGCGCATTCGGCTAGCTCGATCGCGCTGATTCTCTCTCGTAAACGGGCCCCCATGTCGTCCCGTCAGCCGCCTTGCGTTGTCAAAAAGGCGAGCGGAGTATACCCCTGACTTCAGGGCCGGTTTTCTCGAAGCGATGGTAAACCCATTTTAGTAAACCACGGTACCTAGGAAGGAAAAAGTACCTAGGTACTATAATAAACGGCTGGATATAAAACCACAATAATTATTTTTGATTGGGCAGTAAGATGCGTCATCTATCGGTGAAACAAGCCAGTCATTTTGTTTATTCTCTTTTTCCGCTGGTTGTTATCGCTCTAGTATGGTATTTTAAGTCAAAATATAGTAATGTTGTACTTGAAGAACAATTTATTTGCTTCAGATGCTACGAAGAAATTTTAGCTACCATGCTAGGGTTTGTCGGCGAATATTTGAAGACGTAAGAAACATTTCCTTCAATATGTTTCGCCATAAACAACGCATAACTTTCCCGAATCCCTTCCAGTCTGGCAACGCCGCTGCTGTAGACTCGTTTTTGTTCCCTGCGACGCACGTTTCTACTATTCCTGCTGATCTCAACTGTTTGCCCCCTCTTCCGTTTGCCCAACCGATCCACCGATTAGCCCACCGACCGACTGCGGACTTACTAACAACTGATTTGCGGACCTATTTGTACTTTGATAACGAAAACGATGTCGAACAGGACGAGGCGTCGACGTCGACGAGACCGCGCGTACGCGCAGTACGCTGTCGTCATGCTGGGACGACAACGTGTGTTCCGGGACCGCCTCGATCCGCTGGAAGAATTCGACGAGGATGCGCTGCAGCAACGATTCCGGTTTGCTCGCGCGGGAATTATGTTTCTCGCGGAGACGCTGCGCCCGGACTTGGAGCGGTCGACGCGTCGCAGCTGCGCCCTGTCCGCAGAGCAGCAGGTGATCGTCGCTCTGCAATTCTACGCCACAGGCAACTTCCTCATCACTGCAGGCGACTACGTCCACGTGCAAGTCTCTAGTGCTTCACGGTCCGTGAGGCAGGTCACCGTAGCTCTGGCACGTCGAGCAAGGGACTTCAAACGATAAGACTTCATACGGTAAAGAGTTCCTAAGCGTTCCGAGTCAAAAAAAAAAAAAGTCAGATTGTGTTGAGTTTGTTTATGAGTAAAGCTATACGCACTCCGTCGTGCACCTCGGCCGGAAAGGGCTATACGCAATACGCAGAATTGCCCTCCAGAGAAGAGGGAAAGAAGGAGCTACCCTCTTATCAGGGTCCTCCTTTGTGCCTCCCGGGTTTGCACAGGCGTTGCTATTCTCCTGCCAGATGATTAGAGAAGATTAACCTGTCGCTCAACATTCTTACAAAGGCAGTTTCCCTCTCCTCCTTTTACTTGGTGTTCAAAAGTATGCGATGTGACGTCAGTGCAGGGAGCCTATAACACGAATGGTTACTACGTGTTTTATAAGCGGTGGCATAGCATAGGGTTAAAAAAAAAAGAAAAATGGCATAGCATAGGGGCATACACCGTGCATAGGGGGGTAAGGTGTCTGCTTCATACATAAGTGGACACGGGTTCGATCCGCGTTGTGGGCCCACTTTTTTTTTCTCAAACATTTTGTTTTGTCGAGGCATTTGGCGATAATTACGACATTTCTTTTTTACGATGAACACTGAAGCAGAAAAGAAAAAGAATGTTGTCGGCTAAACTTTGCATAAATGTGCATGCTAGGGTATTGTGCTGTAAATTAACTTGTGAATGTATTGGCAATGCAGGTGGCCTGACGTCGCAGAGAGTGCTGCCTTGCAGGAGCAGTTCTTTGACGTAGCCGGGTTCCCTTGTGTCGTGGGTGCTGTTGATGGCACCCACATTCGAATCCAGGGACCGCGCGTGCACGAGGAGGTGTACGTGAACCGCCACCTGTACCATTCCATCAACGTACAGGTGGTAGTTGACGCGTCCTGCCGCATACGCAATGTGGTTGCGAGATGGCCAGGAAGCACGCACGACTCCCTGATTTTCACCGAGAGCACACTATCAGTCAAGCTGGCCGATGGCATCTACGATGGCCTATTGCTCGGCGACAGCGGCTACACCTGCCAGCCGTGGCTGATGACGCCATTCCTGTCGCCATCATCAGCAGCAGAAGTGAGGTACAACACGGCACACACCACGACAAGGAGTATTGTTGAAAGGTAAGACAAAGTCACGCATCGTGGTGGGTTACTGGGCTGCTATATTGAAAAGAATGCCACTAGACAACGTAACATTTTGTTGTCATAGCACAGAAGACACTGTTAATTGTAACGCCCCTACATGCAGTTTTGTGTTCTCTAGACCCAGCAGAAAACAGTGGTTGCACGGAACCTAAAGAGAGAAGAAAGAAAATACTATCCCAAGAATATATATTTATTTATTGTACTTTCCAGTGCCCCTATACAGCCCGAGGGCCTGCATAAAGGTGCAACGTAGACACATATATGCAGTGTTTCATAAAAAGCAGACACGCAAAACGCATGCATCGTATCAAAAAACAAAAACGTGAAATATTCTCCAACATATTTTTTGGAGAACATATCACATTGTTCGTTCGTTAGGGGCAGGATTTGTTACATACGTGTGAAAGGCAATATTTTGGTTCAACCTGGATACAGAAGAGCAAAAAGATACAAATGCAAAGCCGTGTTTTTTTTTTCCGGCCCCACCTTTACAGAAATTACACGCCTACTTGTCATACATTCTAAAATACTCCACACTGCTGGGACTCGCCGTAAAAATGTGACAAATTGCACCGGGCTTGGGTTGCTATAGGGAAGTCGTTGACAGACGTCTTCGGACTGCTAATGTTAACGACTGTTTGTATGAAACTGTGTTTCGCTTCCACTCAGCTATGAGGAACATTTGTCGAGGGAAGTTTAATATGGTCTACATGTAAACATACTGTTATATATCTTGGCAATGATAAGAAATGATTGCCGGGTTTTCGGTAGGCTACAGCATTCAGAAAGTATGAAATAGTCTCAGCCCTAATATATTAGTGTAATTTAAATAAATAGTACTCATTCTGTCCATATGATGCACGCAGGACAATAGGCCAGCTGAAGCGCAGGTTCCACTGCCTGCACGCCGAGCTGCGCATGGAGCCAAGCAGATGCTGCGACATCATCGTGGCATGCTGCGTGCTCCACAATCTCGCCAAGAGATACCCCTGCGCGATGCCAGGGACTGCCATCCCGCCTGAGGTTCCTGTGGAGCCCATGGCAGCCGGCCGTGGAGAAAGCAACGAGGCCCGGCGTGCCCTTGTCGACCAGTTCTTCTGTTGAGCGTAAGTATGTGGGTATGTGGTCTTTTCAATTCAAACTGATTTTCTTGAATGCGAGAAACATACAGAGATATTGTCCTCTCTGTGTGTTTACCAGGCTCCGTAAATGGATAACCTTAATAACAAGTTGAATGTGGCACGCGATTTCATATAATAAATTTTCTTGAATGCTTCGTGGCATCTTTTGGCTGTGGTTTTACCAGCAGCTGATATAAGGGGCTGAACCAACCCCAGCATATTCCTTGGAGAACATAGATATTTTAATCTTTATTAAGCACCCTTCATGTATGGTTTCAATACGAGGGTAAACAGGCTTTGCGGAATTCACTCGTTGCAAAAGAATGGAAGCATTGGCAGATATTAGAGCAAGCAGATGTTGTGCTGCGACTGCTATCCACCTTTATTTGCAAAAGCGTCGCTTGGAGACGATGCAGCGCCCGTCGTATGCCGCTCAGGCGTCCACCCTCATATTGAAGACGTCTGTACCCTTTCCTGATTCCGAACATTGTAGCAGAAAGAGTGCCTCAAACATTGCAAACCATATTGTCTCGCAAACCCTCTTCATTGCAGCATGTTTTTTGTTGGTCGCAACAATGACATGCACTTAAGATGTAATGTGGCGGTGTCCAAACAAGGTAACTCTTCTGAACAGCATTGCAGGCACGGATCAGAATCATTCTCGCCTCATCCAGTTTCGGTATGTAGTAACAAACGCCCAAAGATTGATTGACATGTCTTGCAGCGTACTTCGTTGTAAAAGGTTAGAGTTGGTCAAGCAGCATAATTGCAACTGCGTTTAACAGTGAAATAGCTGCATGACCCATGGAACCACATACGCAAAAGTCCTGCAATATATTGCTGTTGTGTGCCTCGGTCAACAGTGCGTGCGGCTTTTGTGCGAAAAGCTTCGGCCCACTTCTGCGTGTTGGTCATCGTGCTTGTCTTCGTACTACAGGCTACGCGAACATCAATGCCCTCAGTGCGAGTAATTATAGGGGTGAGCGAAATAATAGCCTTAAAAATAATACCATTTTATTTTATTGCGCCTCTGTCCTATAAGTTGGTATTATTACCATATTTAAAAGTATTCTACAGGTGAGAGGAGTCAACCTGTATGCGTCACAGTAGTGGTCCGATTATAACAGCCACTAATGGGTCATGCCACTAATGGGTCATTTACATAAGAGGAATAATTCTGTCATTGGTTATTTCACTTAGTAAAAGAGTAAAGGGTGTATAAAATCGCTGTCGAACAACGTTGAAGTATGGTAATGCCTGTTTTTTTTCGGGAAGTGAACAAAAAGAGTACAGAGTTCCTGAACGGTGTAAATTCCGCGACAAACTCTCCTCGAAGAAATCAGGCACACCGAGTGGTCACACCAGTAACCATGCATTTAAACGCATAATCACTGTTTGCGCCGTGCAGGCACTTCCTAGGTTATTTGCTTACTTGCTGTTTTGTTTTGAGCAGGGTCGAATTGTTAAGCTCCTTTCCTTAGTGCCCAACAAAGATGTTTTTGACGTGTCGACAGGCTTGCGCACATGTATGGAAACTCCGCTGGTTAGATTGTCGCTGGTGTCGGATACCAAATGTGGTACTCTGGAATACTGGGGAGGCGATAAAAATATTTCATTATTCGTTAAAATTACTTGCACCATCTTACTGGCTGTCGCATAGGGTCGAGTGTTTTTCTCCAGGGACGACTACCCCATAACATACTGAGGTTTTCACAAATCCTTGCATTTCAAAATGTACTTTTATTATTTCACATCCGCCCTTGCTTCGTCAATCTAAAAAAAAAAGAATTCTTAGAACTTAATGATTCCCCTCCCCCCCCCCCCCCCCCCCCTTGGTCTGCTCTGATTACTCCTTTCCCAATTGTTTTTTCAAAAGCTCAATTTGTAGTTCAGCCTGCAAGGTTTGTAGCCTTAGCATTTCAGTGTAATACTGTTTAGCAGCATCTGCTGCAGCGATTTGTGCATTGGAGGCATCTATGGCTCTTTTTGTTGCCTCCCTATCCAACAGGAGGTTCTCCGCCTCCATCTGCTGCTGGTCCTCAGCTTGCTGCTGATACCTCTGCGCAGCTTCCCGGCACCAACGTCTCGTCTGCAAGACACGGGGAGCTGCTGCCCACTCTTCTGCTGCTGCCACCCTTTGGCCGCTTCCTGACGCCCGAGGCTGCGGCGCTGCCGTTTGCCTCAAGCTATCGCTGTGACAAATGGATATGCAGGAAGTGATTTGCTGTAGTTATTAGGAGTGTGCAGGCAACATACGTATAACATACAGTGTTTGTAACCCCGACATGTTGCTGGAATTTTGCCACAGTGTACTTAACTGTAAAACAGAAACTCTCTGATGCTTCAAGCATCTCCGAGTGGACCACACACGTGGTGCTCATGCAGAAATCCATGCTCACCGTAATATCCCGAGAAATTGCCCACCCAAAAATGAGAGCACATTAGGTAAAAATAAGGGGTAGGCTAACATTCGGTGTTCACAAGGTAGCTCAACTTGAGCCATTGAAAAATAGAAAGTCCTGCTACAAATCAGGATGGGCTATCTGTTGGGGATGGGTCGTCTCTCGGGATATTACGGTAATATTCCTTGTACCGGTTGCAACTTTCAGTATTTCATTACCTTTAGCTTTCTTATAAATTTCTTAACCTTGCCATTTATTTCACCTAAGGATGTTGTGAAACCAAACATTCAAGTCTCGTTGTTTACGAAATCCACGATGCTACAAAACAGTTTTCGCTTGGCTACGTATAGAGTCAATCTTGCTATGGCTTTCTCCTGCTGTTAAACCGATAACTGATGCCAGCAACGCTACCTCTTTCCTTTTTGCGTTCCGCACTAGTTCGTCACTGCATAAACGATGAGTTTGTTCACTCATTCAACAACTAATCAAATATCATGCGTAACAACATGGTTATACCTTTCTTTTTCAAAGGAAGAATATTGTCTTATTTGTTGCACCTGTTGGTTAAGAGGTTAGAACTAAATATCACCACCTTGCATTCCTTCAACCATCAAAAAGTGTACTACAACTCTTTGCTCGGATATCTGCCTTTGGTACATCGGTAGTTCTGTTGTCTGGGTGTTAGTTATGTTAGTAATGAGCACATTTTGCTACATATCCTTCTGTGTGTGTTTTTTGCAGGTTGTTTGTAGAGCAATTATGCAGCCGTATGAGTAAAATGAAGAGAAATTCACGATTACATGCTTGCCATAAGTGACCCAAAGGCAGTGCGGTATGTGCGCTAGCCTGGGCTCCCTATCCCTAACCTGCATCACGCAGTAGTGATACATCAAAGTGCGCTGATTTCCAATCAGATATTGTGTGTATGGCACTATGACAATTTTTACAATCTCCCTGTTCTCACATCAGTTTCTTAGGGTCCCACCCATAATAACCATGCTGTTCTGCATGCCCGGCACCCAGTGCTGTTGACTTGTCATACAGACTGATGTAAGAGTAATCCACTCACTCTTCCGTGTCACCCTCAATGACATCAAGCCCACACAGGTTCGGCGAGTCGACGCCGATCACGTCGAGAACTGCCTGAATTAGGGGCGTCATTTCATGGGGGTTCGGGCCGGCACCTACCAAATGAATGCACATTATTTTCATTCCGTAGTCACCCGGGCCCCAGAGGCATTGCAGAGTGGAGGGGGATCAATAACCAACTACCAAGCTAGAATAGAAACAGCAGAAATCCAACTGCATTATGAAGCATCAAATAAAAGCATAGTAATTTATACTGTGTGGCAGAAATGTAACTTCTTAACATTGCAGTGGAGCGATCTCGCAACAGTGACCTTCCAACATGCACATCGCTGCGTGCAATGGTGCTGCAGTCAACTTTGTACATAGTGCTTTCTGTGTGCCTTGAGGATGCAGTAGTGTAGGGTATTCAGCGACGTGTTCGATGAACAACAATGCCCTAAGTTTTAGGACTGTTTTCTTAAAAACAACAGAAAAGGCACAGTTTAGGTGGTGTGCTTTCAACATTTTGATCTCCTCTGTCTCAGGTCTACCACACTTTTTGCTGTTTCATGTGTGTCTCGGTTACTAAAACACGGTTAAAGGAAATTTCAATAAAGTGTTTTGAGATGTTGCCTCTTTTGATTTTATTACTGTTTTCGAACAGGGACAGGAATGTAGTGGAAAGTTACACGTCAACACTCACTTTTATATCTGTCATCAGTCATGCCATAAAAAAAATTAAATGCAAACACGGCATTATAATCCATGGCAGAAAAGGTTCTGTTTATTTTTTGTGTCACTGCCCCCCCCCCCCCCCCCAACTCATCTTTAAAGCGAACAATTGAAAACTAGTTTGTTTTTCGAAATATGCAAATTCCTCCGACTCACCTGTGCGCCCTTCATGCTTCTTGTAGGCGCTGTAGACCTTTCTGCATTTTTTCAGGAGGTTTTGCCACGCCTCCTTCAGCTGCTTTGCGGTCCTCTGAGCTCCCTGCTCATTCATTGCATCGGCAATGTCGAGCCACGCCTGCTGTCTCGTGTGCGCAGTTACTGCAGGACCGAATTTTCACATAATTTGTTCCCTTCTTGCCCCAACTTCCCGAATTAACTTCAATCTCTCGTCTAATGTCATAATTTTTTGCCTCTGTTCGCAAGCCCTCGATACTGACGCTTGGTCCATTTTCAACCGACGTTTGCGGTCAGGACACTATCGTCTGCTACCTTGGTTTCTCTACCCGCACACCTGCATTTTGCTATATATCGCAATAAGACGAAAGATAATCCTAATATCACTTTTAAAAACGAAAAAAAGAAGCGAAAGGATGATCTCGTCAACTTTCTTTGTAATAAGTGTTTGTTTATTTCTCGTTTCTGCGACTTCTGCAGATGACATCGGCAAGGTTGATTCGTATACCGCGCTTGTACTATCTTTTCCATTGGTGGATGCATCGACCGACCGTCGCGGTCAGAACCAGACGCAGCGGCACTGCTTCAGCGTAAAGCTAAGCTTCTCGTCACCGTTGAATTGCTGGCCACCGGGGATATGTAGAAACCTCGATGCTGTCGGCATACTGTCGGCGCACTGCGAAAAAAAAAAAAAAAAAAAAAAAAGAAACGGTACAATGTTTCAGCTATTCACTCGGAACGAAGACTTTATCGAAGATAACCCCTTTCTCCGCAAAGTAATCGCTGCTCGCGAGTTGGCGTGCATAGTGTAACAAATTAAACCTGTTCGTATACCAACGCTTGTTCGCAAAACATTTTTTACTCACCATAAAAACACTTGCAAGGCTGATGTACCGTCATTTGTGGGTCCCGGACTGGTGAAGAGTGATGCGTTCGCGGAATGCTGCCGTCGGTTAACTTAGTTGTCCCTCTGAACTACCGCTTTGCTTGACGTGCTAATAGGTTGATGGCGCGTCATTAATATAACAGCCGGATCGAAATGAATGTTCGGCAGAACCAAGCAGAACTATTAGCCCTCATTAAGCGACGTCGCGGCCATTTTGCTTGTAGGTACTGCTTCTCCCTCGGCGCCCCTGCTCGCCCAGTCACGTGACCTAAAATTCCCCGTTCTAGGGACAATAGTTAACTTTAAACCACGGTTTGCGTTCGAGAAAACGGGCCCAGGAAGGTGTGCATATCCGTTGACGGCTTCACAAGTTTGCTTCCACCATTCCAGAGAGAAGAAAGCATAGAATGGTTCAAGTTGAATTGCTGTCAGTTCCACCTTTCTAACCGAGGGGTACTCTTCTCTCCGCGGAGGACCGTCAGGCACCTCTACGGACCTCGAGCTCCGCAGTTGTTGCTGGGGGACTTTGTTGAAAGACAGCCTTGGCACTCGCACAGCAGGTGAAGTCCAGGTGCCCACATAAGTAAAGAACAACATAACGACAGCTGTGAGTAGGATGTTCTTCGCTTCGGCAAGACCTAGCGAGCTGAATGATGCTCACTTCTTGTTCGCTGCATACACGGCTTGTACGTGACGTCATCGCCACGTGCTGGTGGTTATTGTGGGTGTTCTGGGTCATCTTAACGTGTTCTGTCCAAGGACAGCAAATTCAATGTCCAAAATGCATGCTGCAGAAGGTGAACTCTAAGCACCGAGGCCACCACAGTTGTCACTCTAATGACATCAGTGCAAGCCACGTATAAACTTCAAAGTAAGGTCAAGCCTAAAGTTTTCAACTCCCCGTCGTTGGAGTGGAGATCTATTCTAACCTCGCGGTCAATCCAAGGGGCCTTCGAGAAGAAGCATCCTGGCAACCGAATCTTTCGGTAGTCCCCTCAGTCAAACGTCGCCTAATATTCGGGGATTCCCCCGAGGGTTCGGATTGGCCAGAGTATATGTGAAGTTTAGCAAACCCTCTAATAGATATGAGCACTGGCTGGTAGAACAACATATTTCTTATTCTTAATTCCTACTAACTTCCGCGCGTTGATATTACAACGAAGAGCGCAGATTTCGTGGCCCGTTATTTTCGGTTAATCATGCATGGATAAAAGATCGCCTTTATCGGAACAGTTTGGGCACAAGCAAATTAGACTTGCGCGTATCCTATTGAAGTAAAGTTCTTCCAGTCAGCTCCGAAACAATTTGCTTGTAGCTCAGTCCACGGAGAGGGTAGACAGCACGTTGATAGAGAAGTCACAGAAGGAGCAGTAATCAAGAAGGCGTGTAACAGCGCGCAGGGACGCTCCACAAAAGATGGACTCATTACCGAACAACGGGGTCATAAATATGAGAGAGCTCGGGAGGAAGCCAGAGGAAAGTAAAAAAAAGAAATTGAAGGTAGCTTTTCAGAGTGAAACTTAGAGGAGGCAGGAGTTGATAATGGCGGCGCTTTATTTATCGCTTCCGCTCTTTAGCCTCCGGGAGGATATAACGAGGGCGTTTATGACAATGCTCCGCGGCCGACCGAACACGACTGCACCCAGAGCACCTCGCTCGGCGGCCGGGCGATTACGGGTCGCGGAATAAAAAGAAGCCTCTCGGACGAGTAGGCAAGACGACTGCAACTCCGGGACGCCAGGGCCTCCACGCCTTTTTTCTGGATGAGCTTACGCAGCGGCAGTTGACCCTACGGGAGGAGGCCTCTCAGTCTGACCGCTGCCATTCCAGATGAGGTGTTTGGGTGGCAGTTTCAGGCTTGCGAGGTTATGGCACGACATGTCTCAATTATTCGTCTTAATGCTCTTGGCATTCAGCTTTGACTTGAGAACAGTGCCATCCTTCGAGAACTTATTATGGAAACCGCCAGTTGGCGCGTGATATGGCTCAATGAAACCCACGCACGGGCGTACCAACCGGGGTGGGGGGGGGGGGGGCAGCAAGGGGGGTGCTTGCCCCCCCAGTTTTGAGAGTGGGGGTAAGGTATGTGTTCTGGCCCCCACCCCTCTGAAACAGCCGCCACTGGGCAGAGCAAACACTGGCCGGCGGCACCCAAGGGATACCAAGGGCACCGCCCCCCGGCCCTGGCGGGGGGGGGGGGGGGGGGGGGGAGGGGGGGGCGGGGAGGGGTCTGGGTCTAGTTTGCCCTCCCCTCCCACTCAAAAACAAGTTGGTACGCCGCTGAACCCACGCTTCGCGTATCTCACAAATGATGACAAGTAACCTTACTAGATCAAGGGCAGTCGACAAGATTCCTAGAACGTCTGACACCTTTTCATGACGCGTTCTCTCTGTGGCGCACGCTAAGCTGCCATCCCGCCTCAGGGACCTATCGTCCTACAGGTGGAACTACGGAT